TCATGTCCTTTTACACTGGGAAAAAACACATTGGATCTAGAGTCCAGGCTCTTAAAAACATCGACAAGAAAAATTACTCTTGATTCAATCAGATTTCAGCTTAAATCAAGAACCAAGCCTCTTAATTTGAGCGGATTTCCTTTTAATTTAAGCTTAAATCTGATTGAGTCAAGAGTCCTTTTTCTTGTCAATGTTTTCAAGAGTCTGGACTCTAGATCCAATGTGTTTTTTTTTCCAGAGCAGCTCAATATCTTTGCCAGCGGCGAGGCGTCAATGATCGATTATCGATATTTCCTCATTTGAAACTATGTTAAAGAATCGATTATTAAGTTGTTCGTTGCGAACACCCGGAATATAGATCCTTTTCCATAGGTATAAATGGCAGGCCAATCGATACATCGCAAAGCACGCCACGCCCCTGATCTTTGTCGCTCTACAACTCCAAATCGCCAAGATTTATTTTATAAATTTTACCATACAGTCTGGCAAGTTCTCCTGTGGATGCAGCACACGGTCCTGCCGTGAGCTGATCCATTCCGAGCGTAAATCAACCTTGAAATCCCTCATATCGCGGAAAATTAGTGTCATATTACTGTCGCGTCGGCAAAAGATGTCCCTACTTAAAATTCTCACGCGAAAAAAAGAAAAAAAAATTATTCAGCATCTTTATTTAACTTTATCATTATTTTTCGCTGAAAGAATTCTCCTTGAATGATACTCAAACCCAACAGCAACAGGGCATATTCCAAAATGAGTAGTATTCGTTTCACACGGAGAAAAAAACTTCGTGCGTTAGACCCGAAGTTTAGGTCATTTGGATCTCTGAAGTTTTCGGATTGAGCATCATGAACACTTTAGATCTAGCTGTCGAGGTTCGGATCACACATCTGAAACTTCAGTTCTTACACCTGAAGTACTTCGGTTTTCACATCCGAAAAACTTCGATTCTCACATCCGAAAAACATCGGTTCTCACATCTGAAGTACTTTTCCCGCCGAAGTTGACGCCTTTTTCCCGTGTATTTTTTATGGACCAGTGATTCTCGACCCATTTCCCGCCGACTTTCTACCCACATTTGAAGTAGTTTCGGGCGAAAAATTTGAAAATGAACCATCATTGAGAGTCAGAAATATCTTTCAGATGACAAACTCCAAAAAAAATATTCGGATGTCCAGTTGTGAATTTTGGATTTTTGTCCACAGAGGACCGCACACTGGAAAAAAAAAACATTGGATCTTGAGTCCAGACTCTTGAAAACATTGACACGAAAAAGGACTCTTGATTCAATCAGATTCAAACTGGAATCAAAAGGAAATCCGCTCAAATTAAGAGGCTGGGTTCTTGATTTAAGCTTAAATCCGATTGAATCAAGAGCATTTTTTCTTGTCGATGTTTTCAAGAGTCTGGACTCTAAATCCAATGCGTTTTTTTTCCAGTGCACTGTGCGAGGGTTCGATATTACATCGACTGACGTAGCCACTAAATCAGTCTATAACGGTACCTACAGGAAAGTTAGTAATTTCACGAATTTTTTCAAAGAATCTCGTGGAATCGCGCTGAGATTGAAAAGACTTAATACTGAACTCCGTAAGTTTCAGGAAAGATCCGCGGTGCGACTCCGATGCACTGGCAGAATTATGAGAGCGAGGCCATAATCCGTCACTGTCGGCTCGGGTGGGCATTTGGCGGGCAAAAAGGTTGACAATGATTTGTAAGCCTGTTGAGCGAGGAGCAGCGGCACATGGATGCGGACTCGATTCGCACCGCTGCCCTTTCGGGTGATACTCCCGATTCTCGACGAGGGGTCGAACGAGAAAACGCGGAGGAACTGGCAATCGTACCGAGTTGGCATAACGTGATAGCCGCCTTGTTCTCGGGCTTACGGCTAACCGTCTTCGCTTGTTTCGTGTTTGCGGAGGGCTTTTGTCATGACGTCACAAATCAAAAACGAGGTTAGTTCGGGTTTTTAACGGAGGTCCACTCCGTGTCGCCGCGTAGACGTTAGACCTCTTTCAAATGGACGCTGGACGCTGGGTTGTGAATTATATGCTTGCACTGTTCAAAATCGAGGAGCGAAATTCGGTGCCGGGCAGGGTGTCTAGTTTTTTTCATTTGGGGAAATCCTAAATCTTCCTGATTTTTGACTGCTAAATCCGGATTTCATCATTTTTCCAAATCCTGATTTTTTGCGGAGAAAAATTGAAAGTTCTGCATAAACGCATGCAAAAACAGAAGTCTTGGATTAAGTTCTATGGACTTTTCCCAAATCCTGGTTTTACGACCGTTTTTGCCTCAAATCCTGATGAAATCGGAATTAAATTCTGTCAGTGCACAGATAATTTTTGTCTAGTCTATCGAAAACATTGAAAGCAATATAAGAATGTACGTAACCTTCATAATAATTTCAGGAGATGTCCAACCAGGCAGTGCCACCAATTTGAAGGAGGATAATTATTCGTGAGATTGAGTAAATTTTCGTCAATGCGTGATACCAACTGTCGCCTCAAAATAACGATCAAATGAAGAGAAATCTTCAGAGTCAATTTTTAGTGAGCCACAGGGTGGGAGCCATTGGCGACAAATCTGACTGATTTTGGTGTTGCAAATCATGTCTATATACTCGAAAAAGCAGAGATGTAAGAAATGTCATTCAAAACTATCGTTTACTCACGATTCACCATACTTCTGAAATTCTCTAATACCTTATGTGATAACCAACCGACAATTAGCGATAATTGTTTGGCCATTTTCCTACATAGAAGCGTCTGTTGAGGTCATCCTAGTTTATGAGTCGAACCAACCTGCACTCAAATACATAATGTTTCAAAAGATGAAACAATTTGAAAAGCTATGTGTGAAAGTGAGTTATTCAACTCACTTAAAGATATAATCAGGAACACATTTTTCTCCCCTTCCTCTTATCTATTTAACCACAAAATGTTCATTTTGTTTGTTTTACTACTATGTGTTTATATAAGTTACAATAAAAATGTATCGTTTTGTAGGTACTTCCAAAACCTTAGCGCGCGGAAAAAATGAAGCAGTTGTCATAACCAGCGGCTGAATCCATGGGACGGAAATCAAAGTTTGATAGTTACGAAGAACAACACAAATGAGTAGTGGCGTGGCGTGCTTTTCAATATATCGATTGATCTGTCATTTAAACCTATGGAAAAGGATCGATTAACAGGGTGTTCGCAACAAACACCTTAGTAATCAATCTTTTACAGTAGCTTCAAATGGGGAAAATATCGAAAATCGATCATTCACGCCTCGCCACTGCAAAAAGCATCTTGGCGACCACTATTTGGACCGCGTTAAACAGAAAGGAACCAAGCCACATCAGCTATTGCCAAATTTAACTGGTCAATTAAATTTTCTACGAGGGAACTTTTGTGCAAATTCCTTTAAAATTTTTAGGGAATTTGCTTTAAACTATGGAGAATTTTCAGTAAACTTTGCACAAAAATCCGCTCAACCGTTTTCACGTAAAAAATTAAATTGCTCGATTAAATCTGGCAATAGCTGATGTGGCTTGGTTCCTTTCTGTTTAACGCGGTCCATTTAAAACTGCCCTTATGGTAACTTCAGCCAAGGGGTCTTCACATATAATTCTAGTGATAAAATGCCTGAAATAGTGGTTGCAATACTTACCGTGCAATGTATTACTTAAATTTCAGTTTTGAAACTATTTTAAGGTTATGGTTGCACTCGTCTTACCAACCGCTGGTTTTGGCAACTAATTTACTATTTTCGCGCGACTTTTAAGGGTAATACCTCATCGCTTGGGAAGGTTTCATGTTCATCAACTTAGTTTAAATAACGAGAATGTATTGAAACTGACCGACTCGTTGGAACTCCTTTAGGAGTGCGACTACATTCATTACAGAGAAAGTTGAAGTATTTTTTTGATGATGCTTCGATTTTTGTTTCTTTATTTAAAACAGCAAAATACACTGGATATTACGCCCATCAGCAAGTACGAGACGGAATGGCCTGATCTTATTGCAACCTTATTTTGTTATGGAAAATTTCCACAAGGTCTCTAAAACTCAATTCGCGTCGGTAATAATTCATAAAGAGCCGTCAGCAGTTCTGTAGTCAAAATTGCATATTCACGATTTAGCAGGCGACTCTCTCGAGCGCACAAAAAAAATCTCGTTAGGAGGTGATGTTTCCTCGACAATGCTGCTTTTTTCCAATTCAATCATACTTGCCATGCTCTTCTCCGAATTTTAATTCGTTGATTGGGGTAATTGAAAATTAAAATGGAATGAAATTATCTCAAGTCGATTGAATCTGAAATGTCCTTGCGCTCGTTTCATGAACATTTGTGAAGTTGGTAGATTAATATAGTTTTTACAATCGCCTCATGCAGGACAAATGTACAACCTCCCACATTTTAGTTTTCATGAGGTGTGCTTCACCTTTTCACTTGTCAAACTGAAACTATCGTAAATGTGACTTGTGAGACAAAACTTATTTTTAATATCACTATCAGCTTTCAGTGAAAAGTTTCGCTTGAATAAAAAGTTTCCGAAAAGTACTAATTTAATTCATAAAAGTCAAAATCAGCCAGTACGAGGAACTGACTCCATTTTTTAAATGACCAAGCATGTTAAATGTGTGTCATAGAAGTTTAAAACATTCCAAAACCAATTATTGAGATTTGCAAAAATTTTTGTCGGATGAAAGTTACTGCCGAAAATCAGCATAATGCGTTTGCTTGGACTGATGAAAAGCATAGTTTGAACATTAAACCTTCCCTCTGCGTCGAGGTAGACAACAGTGGCGTGGCGTGCTTTGCGATATATCGATTGATACGCCACTTAAACCTATGAAAAAAGATCGATTATTAGGGAGTTCGCAGCGAACACCTTAGTAATCGATTCTTTACCATAGCTTTAAATGGTGAGATATTGATAATCGATCATTCACGCCACGCCACTGGTAGACAAATAGTAAAAAACTATATTTTATTTCATTCAAAGTTTTCTTACCTGCATTGTGAATGAAGCTGAGGCTCCCTAAAAAGATTATAACAGTCTTCGCAGATACGGTCTAGTTTGGCGAATATGCTTTTGTCATAGACGCCCTTGCACTCTAAGTTGAAGAACGACCTTTTGTTGAACGAATGTCCTAGCAGTGCACGACTTGTCGGACCAGCTAGGATATTTGACATGAGACACCATGATACCAGTAGCAAAACTTGGGTAGACTGATGCATCTGTCCAACAAAGAAAAAAGTCAACGGATTAGCACTGTCATAATCAGTGGTTCTTTAGTTGAGGGTTGGGTGGTATTATGAGGGGCCCCTGTCCCATGACCTTCAATGGATGCTCTGCAGCCTTTGAAGATCCTCAGCGGTATAGCAATAGAGGACCTGGCATCACCTGGGTCATAATGCAAAAAATTAGCTGAAAAAACATGATACTTGGATCGGTGGATCGCCCTATATGGATCAAAATAAGAAGAGTCAGTAAGCTTAAATGAAATGTCCGCATCAGTTTTACCACCCAAAGTAAAGTAGTAGAAGTATTCTAAGATATGCCGCAATCGAAATCCAAGTTTTCTTAGTTCGATAAATGTTCAGTTGCATGGCATGACAGAGGGCTCCTCAGAGAAAGGCTCGCACTGCTTAGAACATATGCACCTCTAATCCAAGATAGAAGAGCCTATAACTCTATTCCGAAATTGCAGAGTTGACCACAGAGATTCCATTTATTACAATACTATGCTGCCCTGCTACGGAAAAACGCCGTATGAACCTTCAAGCGTTCCCAAAATGCTTTTGATATAAAACGAATTTCTTGGTGAACTTATGAATATTTTTCTTCCACTTTTTCGGATAATTTTGTTCGCTATTTCTCCTGAAGTTCAAGAAAATGTCGAGTAATAATATTCACAACCCTCTTCCCCCAATATACATTTAATGGAAAGAAATTTGGTGACTTTCAAATGTTCATAAGGTGTTTTTCCTTAGCACGGCAGTATGACTAACGATAAGAAGTTTTTCAAAAAATTGTTGAAATCACGCGTAATCAGAAGAAAATTTCGAAAAACTTATCAGTTGGAAATTCCAAAAGATTTCCCAGTAAAAATGCAATTTAAAAGTGGAAATTTTGCAACTTTAAAGAGCAGTTACGTTCATCAGTCTGAAAGCTGAGACGTCATGTTCAAATTTGCACAATAAAAGCAGCACTGCATGACAGATAGGCTGGTTTTGCACTAAACTCCTCAATACTGGGAGTAGCCTACGATGTCATATTTCCGAAGAAGTCACCGTTGGCAGGTGATCCGGGCGTAGTATTCGGGTGGCGGGTCCGGCTGACGGCGCACAGTGGATCGAGTCAGTTAGAGAGGTCGGACATGAAATTTTTGATTAAAATTGCAAATTATGATGTTTATTTCGTCACATTTTAAATTCTAAGGAGTGCTTCTAGAGGCGAATTTCACGAGGAAACCAATGGAACCACTTTTAGAACGTCAAATTTATGTTTAAACGGAGTTATAAGCTTTTAAGTTTCCAAATTTTGTCCGACTTCCCCTATTGACTGGGTCCAGTGTGCGGCGAGAGCTCCTCAATGAACGGAGCCGAGACACGTGGGGAAAGGAAACGAGCCGTGCCAAAAAAAAACCCAACGCCAAAACCGCGTAACACGCATAGAGTTTATATTGGAGTTGTGCGGTTTTTGTTGGACGGGGGTGAATACTACCGTGCTAAGGAAAAACGCCGTATGATCATCCGAGAGTTGCCAAATTTCCTTCAATAAAATGTTTATTTTTAAGGAAAGATATAAATACTTTTCCTTGAAATTTTCAGACACTTTAGAAAAAATTACGAACAAAATTCTCTGAAAAATCGGAGCGAAAATATTCACAAATTTGCCCTAAAATGCATGATTTATGAGAAGAGATTTAGCAACGCCCTAGGGCTCACACGGCGTTTTTCCTTAACACGGCAGAACAGTCCCATCGCCGGACTAATTACTCACTCGATGAGCTTGGAGCTTATTTGGAGGCTGCCCAAGTTGGAGTGCACTCTGTCTCCCCCGGACCTCGGGCCCGGGACCCGGGGCACATGTTCCGGCTCATGTCGCTGATTCCGGGAATGTTTCGGGCAAATACGCAGTTCCCATGAACGGACGTCCCGTGACGCAACCGCTCTAGATAATCTTCATCTTTGCTGCCTTCGTAGTTTTTTTTTTTTTTTTTTTTTTTTTTTTTTTTTTTTTTTTTTTAAATATATATATAAATTGATTAGTTACGCATTTTGTTTACATTGTACATCATAACACCGGAACATCTTAATAATCGACAAAAATTTGTAGTTTGTGAATTTTGAAAAAAATTGTTGTAAAACTTGTAAATTTTGCAGTTGGATTGCATTTTGCAAAAAGGAACCACTAGCATTGCAATGTTGCTAGGATTGTGCAACTTCTTTTGTCTTGGAGGAAAAACCCGATTATCCATTGATAGTTTCTATTTTACTAGCTAAAAACTATAAATTTAAGACAAAAATTACCATCTAAATTTCATAGTTTTTCACGATTTCCGCAATTATATTGCAAAAGATGAAGTTGCACAATCTTAGCATCATTGGAATGCTAGTGGTTTCTTTTTGCAAAATGCAATCCAGTTAAGAAAAGAGTCCGACATGTTTCAATGTAGATATTACAATAAAAAAATGATAATCTACATCCCGTGACACAACCGCTCTTGATAATCTTCATCTTTGCTGCCTTCGTATTTTTTTTCTTATCCATTAATTACTCATTTTGTTTCTTTGTAAATCATGCCACATGCAGTGGCGTGGCGTGCTTCGCAATACATCGATCGATTTCCCATTTAAACGTATAGAAAAGAATCGATAAACAGGGGGTTCGCACCGAAAATCTTAATGATCGACAAAAATTTGTAGTTGGTACATTTTAAAAAATTGTAGTTGTAAAATTTGTAAATTTTGTAGTTAAAAAAAGTGTTCGATATGTTTCGATGTAGATATTACAATAAAAAAATGCTAATCTAACCATCCTCGTGGTTAAATTACCTCTTCACTATTGTGAAATAATTATTAAAAAGACAACTCATTTTTTTTCGCGCGGGAAGTCCTGGTGCTGTCCTTTCAAAAAAGGAGATAGTAAAACCTGTAGCATTGCCTGATACTAGATTAAAAATTATGGTAAAATTAACTGGAGGCCAGCAAAGCTACTTGGAATTTTCAGTGATCGACCCACCGGGATGGTTGGTGATTTCCCCGGTTTTTACTGAGTTTTCACACCGTGACTTCAAGGTGGGGCAGGAGAATTTTTTCCCGACAAGATTCGGCGCCAGCGGTTGGTATCAAAGCCTGAAAGCACGCACCTGTTAAAAAATGAAACTTGTCTCACACTAGCAAACGACGCAAGATGCCGCACAGTAGTTCGAGTCAATCAGAGACGTCGGACATGAAATTTTTGACAAAAACTGCGACTTTCGGTGTTTAAATCGTCAAATTTTATAGTTCAAGGGGTGCGTCTAGAAGAAAATTTCACTAGGAAACCAATGACGCCACTTTTAGAACCTCAAAATTTTGTAAAAACGGTGTTATAAGCGTTCAAAGTTTCCAAATTTTGTCCGGCCTTTCCTATTGACTCGACCCACTGTGTCGGTTGGAAGGAGCGGGGATACTCAAATCTCCCATCCGCGTTTGAATGAGATCATGCCCGCTATTTTAAATGCATTCGATGAATTTTAAGCAGGAGAAAATATGTGAAATTTTTTTCCTCCTCGCAGATTTATCGTCAATTAGGACCGGTCGGCACTGCGATAGCGTGACCATAATGCGGAGATCACTTCTGGTTGACAAAACGTCGCTCCAGACGTAGGGGCGTATCTCAATTTTCACGAGTGCCCTCATTCACCGATAGATCCGTGCTATCTGGGGCTCCTTCGGAAATCGAGTTACGCCCTTACGTCGGAGGAGCGGCGAAAAGGCCTCCTCCGCCGAGGAAAAGATAGCCTTTTTCCAAATTTATTCTTCGATTGTCTGATCTTTTTTTTCTGCTTAGGTAAATATACCTTTTATCAAATCGTTCGACCCAATATAATCTTCACTTGCCAGAGGTATACTAAAGGGAGGCTTCGAATCACGGTCTACGATATTTTTCTCACTGACGAGTTTTTTTTATTTTTATTTTATTTTTTGAGCGATCGAGTTTCTCGTGGAATCGTTGTGAACTACATTTAACATAGAATACCGTTGCTCGAAAAGCCGGGAGTATTCTTCTGCCGTGCTAAGGAAACACGCCGTATAAACATTTGCGAGTTGCCACATTTCCACGAATAAAACATGTACTTTTGAGGCGAGTTATGCATATTATTCCTTGAAATTTTCAGATATTTTAGCTGAAATCGTGAAAAAATTGACTGAAAAACTTGAGAAAAAATATTCACAATTTTCTCAGTAAATTCGGTCTTTATTGAAGGAAATGTGGCAACGTCTGAAGGTTCATACGGTGTTCTTCCTCAGCACGACAGACTTTGGGCCTACATTAAGGCGTAGATACAAACGGCGATTAATCGTCACGAGTGAAAGACAAAAGCCAATGGAGAGCCTTGATTGCGATATATCGACGTCAATGGATCGAAATCGAGGCTCTCTATTGGCTTTCGTCTTTCACTCGCGGCGATTAATCGCCGTGTGTATCTCGGCCTTTAACCGAGCAAGATGGAAACAGGTTTAAAGATGTAATCAGAGATTTTAATATTTCAACTTCTAGCATGAGCCTAGACAACCTTCCATGCATCTTTTGGCCAAAAACGAACTTTTCCATAGGTATCATTAATTTCTTCCTCAAAAAAAGTCGGAGTCGTTGTTATTACATTGAGCCTTTGGAACTCCATGAGATGACTGAGTCCACTGGGAGCCAATCAGAGAGTTATTAAAAAATGACAGTATTTTTCTTGTAAAGGTACATTAACGTAACCCAGATAACTATCGATATCCAAGAAATAATATGAAATAATCCATGCGTATTACAGGACCCACCGGCGTATGCAAAATGGAGGAATAAAAGTGCCTTAGAGGTTTGGAATTGTGACAATTTTTTTTCTCTCTATTTTGTTCGCTTTAGTAATACCATGAGATATCCTACAGCCCACCCCCTTTCACTTGTTAATTATGCTCCCTTTAGTATTTAGATGAATCATGAATCGTTCAATACTTAATCGCGATTATTCTGCCTC